AGGCCAATTGGGGAGTCATGCCCTGCGGGTCACAAGCCGTAGTTTGGCCTCCCCCGGTTTAGGTGCTTAAGAAGAGCCTTGTAGAGTGATTCTTCCTGGAAATGTAATTCATAGGAAAGGTTTTAGATTTAATTGCTTGACAGGTCCACAAAATTCAGCAGGGGTTTGGTAGCCAATCGTTGTTTTCTACTATCCAAGTTTAAAGTCCAATATCACTACTATACTACCTGTAATTATATGGTAATGTCTAGATCAGGGGTATCAAACTCATTTGTTATAAGGGCCAGATCTGACATAAATGAGACCTTGTTGGGCTGGGCCATATGTGTCATAAAATGTAATGCCAGGTAGCGGAGATATAAACTTTATAAAGGACACAAGCACAAAGGGTTTTTTTACTTAAAATATAAACATGTTTAAAACATTAGCTCTGTAAGCTGCAACCCTACTTTTGATTTATTGACATTCACCACAGAAATTTCATGCTCAGAGTTCTGAGTCTAGGACCCAGGTTAAAACATGAAATGGCTGAGAGAGTCTGGCGAAGCAAGCTATGATGCAGCAGCAGCAGCAGCAGCAGAACTGGAAGCAGGAGATGGCCAGTTCCACTACAGGCCTGATGGAGGCCCTCCAGGGGCCTGATCTGGCCCCTGGGCCACATGTTTGACACCCCCTGGTCTAGATTAATTGGCCCTTATTCTAGTTAGATGGGGGAAGTATTTTTCTCTGCTGGAAAAGCATATAAAAATCACATAAAACAGCTCTAGCCAAACTTCCAGACTTTACTGGTTCACCCCTGTTGCTGTGTCAACCTCCCTGTAGCTGCTTTGCCTTTGCTGTCATCATAAGAACATAAGAGAACATAAGAGAAGCCAATGGTGGATCAGGCCAATGGCCCATCCAGTCCAACACTCTGTCACACAGTGGCCAAAAATACCAGGTGCCATCAGGAGGTCCAGCAGTGGGGCCAGGACACTAGAAGCCCTCCCACTGTTGCCCTCCCCCAAGCACCAAGAATACAGAGCATCACTTGCCCCAGGCTGAGAGTTCCTATCTATACCTTGTGGCTAATAGCCACTGATGGACCTTTGCTCCATATGTTTATCTAATTCCCTCTTGAAGCCGTCCATGCTTGTAGCCACCACCACCTCCTGTGAATGCATGTGGAACTATTGCTACTTCTAAATTGTCAGAATAACAAAGCATGCTCACCAGTGGCTAGTGGGTGAATGGATTTGTAGAATGCTGTTGCCAAGATATTGAAAAGGATTTATTTTTATAAAAACTGTGGAGACTAGATGCAAAGAACTTGGCATATCTTCTGAATGATTTAAAATGACACATTCTGTCAAATTCTGAAGATGAGAATTCCAAAAAGAGTTCATTGTGAACAACTGGATTCAATTTAATAGCATGAATCCATGAATATCAATAAAAATGATATTTCATAATCTCCCAAGCTGACACTTTTTATATATTTAATGTAATTGACTGATTGCAATCTTATGTGCACTTAACTTGAGAGTAAGTCCCACTGAGCTCAGTCAGATTTACTTCTGAGAAAAAGAGTACTGGGCTGTGCCTGGTAAGATCTTGAAAGATGTAATGGTTGATAAGTGTACTAAACGCTAATGTAAGGTAAAGGTAAAGGTTCCCTTGCTCGAAAGCCAGTCGAATCCGACTCTAGGGTTGCGGTGCTCATCTCCGTTTCAAAGCTGAAGAGCCAGTGCTGTTCGAAGACGTTTCCGTGGTCATGTGGCCAGCATGACTAAACACCAAGACGCACGGAACGCTGTTACCTTCCCACCGAAGTGGTACCTATTTATCTACTTGCAATTTCTTGCTTTCGAACTGCTAGGTTGGCAGGAGCTGGAACTAGAGACCGGAGCTCACTCCATCATGTGGCACCCGGGTCTTGAACTGCTGAACTACTGACCTTCCACAGCCTGCAGTTCAGCGTCTTAACCACTTGAGCCACCGCAGCTCCTAAACACTAACGTACATAGTTGAAATGTAACTGCAGCCCAGCCATAAATCTAAGACCCTTCAGTGGGAAACTCTTCAGCATGTGTCTAATTGTTCTATTTAAAATCAGTATGACCTAAAAGTGATGGCCATGCTTGATAACTTGGGATCCACAGAAATTCTGTTCCCTGACCCATTACATTTGACAGATGTTCCTTCAGTAGATACAATATCATTAATGTGATTAGCAAATTGGGATTAAAGTGCAGAAACCCCTTGCAAGGAGATGACTGGCTTTTTGACACTGCAGTATTAATCAAAGTAATCTGAATATGTAGTACACACAGCTTTAGCTCAGTTAGGGTTTATGTCTTCTCTCTTTGAGATGATTCTTTCACTAATGTGCATCTTGGACACCTAGGGATCTTAAATACTTTGCAACTTGCACGCTCTAGATAAGGGTTTGAAACCACTGAGATAATTGAGAATTAAATCTGCCGTTGAACAAAATTCTGCTGGGTTGTTAAATGGAGCACAGCTGTAAGTTTCTGCTCAGAGAAGGATATGATATTAGATATAAGAAGAATTACAGGGGGGAAATGATAAAAAAATCTAGATTAATATCGTTAAACCCTTTGTGCCAAGTAAGTATGGAAGCTCCAATAATGTGAGCTTATTTATTGTACATACCGGTACACACAGAAGGCAGTACACACAGAAGGCAGTACAGAGAGAGAGAGAGAGAGAGAGAGAGAGAGAGAGAGAGAGAGAGAGAGAGAGAGAGAGAGAGAGAGAGAGAGAGAGAGAGAGAGAGAGAGAGAGAGAGAGAGAGAGAGAGAGAGAGAGAGAGAGAGAGAGAGAGATTCCTATTCCCTGATATTTTGGGAGTATGGCCATAATAGAATGTAATGTGTAGATGGACCCTCAGTCAAAGTCCTCGTGTTTCCTGCAGAGCAACATGAGGACTTTGTATTACATGTATGATGGGAGTTCCGTGACTCCCAGATTCATACAAGCTATTTTCTTTTTGTGACCACAGCAGGCAAGGAAAAGTGGCTATACCCCCCCCTTTCCCATTTTTCATGTCCTTAAACTGCCCCATAGAATCGTTATTAGTTCCATTGTGAAACTTTTGTTCTGCCATGTAAGTAACAAGGCTTTTACAAGACAGCCACTAGCAGTTCCATGGGGAAGTCTGAGGATGCGAAAACAGTGCTCAGGGTGGGTGGGAGCCACAGCTGCCTTTCCCTGCATGTTCTCATAGCAACTGAAAAGAGCCAGCGTGCATCTAGGAAGCACAAAGCTCTTGTGTGAGTCAAAATCCTCATGTTGTTTCCCAACAAACATCAGGACTGGGTAATGTAAACCTGTGTCCAGGCTGTATCACTTCATATCTCATATATTCCATGACTGGATGTTCCGCAATGATAAAACAAAAATCTATGCACATAGTAAACGAGATACTAGGGGGGAAAGCTAGCTCAAAATTCCTGTCTCAGATATACAGTTTTCAGTGTGTAGAGAGCTCTTTGTATTCATGCCAGCACCTACCTGTAATTTTGAAGTGGTTATACCCCAGGTACAGTTTTAGCATGTTTGTGAAACACACACAAACAGTGTTATCTAATGAGTACTGAAACTGAGTGGCATGATTGAGGCCCAAGTCACTCTAATTCCTGGAGTGTGATATAAAAATGCATTTTTTGCTCTTCATTGTATTGATTGGAGGTCTCCAACCTTGATGAGCCATGTAGGCACTTGGAATTTTAAGAAAGCAGAGTGGGCATTGCCACAAAATTGTGGTCAGTTACAAAAAGCTGGGACATTCCAAGCTGAGTATCCTGCTGTGATGGGGGCAGTTACTTCTGAATGGGTGTTCCCTGCAGACCTAAAGGTGATGTCCCCTTAGGGCACTTCTTACTCCAGCAATGCAGAGGAAAGCCCAGACTGGCTCTTTCATATGGAATAGAGCTGTTCTGAGGGAAAGGGATGTGGGGCATCAGGAAGCACATCGGTGGGCACCATATAGGGGATCAGTGGTGTAAATGGCAGGAAGAAACATATACCTTTTACTTAACTGACTGTGAAGGTATAATTTATAGCCTCTCCTTTTCGTTGCTGTTGTGAAGGAGAATCCTCTGTACGACTATGTGTCCAGCTTTAAATATGTACCAACCACATTAATTGGTTTGTTATTTTATGTAGTCTCACAGCCACTGAACTCCTTGCCAAAAGCTTTTTAGTCACCATTAGCTTATTTATTTTTACCTTGTCACTAGCCCTGTGAAAAAAAGCTTCTGAAGGTTGTTGTTTCTAGTATGTTATGTTCTATGCTTGCTATGGTTTTGTATCTGCTTTGTAGTCTGATGGTTATTAATACATTTTTAGAATTTTAAACTTGCTGTTTTCTCATTGTTATGCTTTTTTTTGTTGATGTTCATCATTTTGAGAACCTTCTGGCAGAAACAGCATGTCACATACAATAAATAACTGTTCACCACTAGTTTGGATGGTGAGCTAATAACAAATACAGATGGTGTATCAGGACTTGAGTTGCCGAGGAGTCCAACTCGACATCCTTTACAATCCATCTTGTCCAGTTTGAGAAGAACTTTTATGCTACTGGGAAACAGCGTGACTAAAGTATTTGTATTTTACAGCACTGACCAAGCAATGCATTTTAAACAAGTCTTAGAGAAAATAGTTCTTAAGCAGTGTTTTACTGAAGACCATTACCATACATTGCTATTTCTTTTGCACCATCCGTTTTTTAGCTTTATGAGCAACATATATGAGCATGTTTGAAAGACTTCCAGATGAAATTCTTTACTTAAACTCCATTGCACCTGTACGTACTTTGTTACATTTGTTTATGTGAAATGTCTCAATGATATGGATCCTGAATTTGGCTGAAATCCTATGCCTACTTACTTGGGAGTAAGGCCCATTGAATTCTGCAAGATTTGCTTTCAAATATTCATGCATAGAACAGGGCCATCAGTAACACAGTCTTTAGCAAAACTGGCTTCTTAAAGATGGCCCTCGTTGTCTTCCAGCCTTCCAAAACTACACATGGTCAGTTACATCAGTAAAATATGTAGAACTCTCGACTCACATTCTAAACCCACGTTCTCTCACAGAGCATGTTTAAAACCATTTTCACCCCACTTAAAATGTCTCTGTTCTAATACTTCAGTTGTTACTGAACATTTGTATAGAATATATGTACTGTTTGTTTCAATGTTTCAGTCTCCTTTAGGAGAATACAAGACTTCAAAATTGCTATTTTGATAGCTTTAAAAGTAGTTTCCATAGCACCTGCTCCCCAGTGGGATAATCCAAAGTTTACTTTTTTCTTGGTAGATGGTAATATATGCATGGTACTCAAGCTCTGATTTCTAGAAGGCCCATGCCTAAGTTAGGTCTGCAATATCTCCTTGATGATCTAGAGGTTTTAAGGGATGTTAAAAGAAACTGTATGTACACATGCAAAACCCCCTCCCCAGCTGTTTAAGCACTTGAAAAGGCACACCGTGTGGGAAACTTGCAAATGATGAAAATGGCAGTGGCATCTTTGTGGTGGCCTTGAGGATGCTGTCACGTCTAGTTTGGGCCTAAGCCTTTCCCCGTTACCCTCTTCCCCAGTTGTGCAGGCCTGCCTTCTTGCTTCCTTGTGTGAGCAGTGAGGGTAGGGATCCCAAGTCCCCCTGGGGGGCGGGATATCCCCGCCCCAGAGGCCCGTTCCCCGGCGCCACCAGATCGGGCCCCGGGGGGAACTCCACCTTGACGTGCGCGTCACCCGGAAGTGACGCGGGCACGCCGGGCACGCTGGGGGCGGAGCCACAGCCATACAAGGGGAAACTCTATGCTTTCCCCTTGTATGGCTGTGGTCCCGCCCCCAGCATGCCTGGTGTCCTCCCGTCACTTCCGGGTGACATGCGTGCGGCGCCCGCGTGCTTTGCGCATGCACGTGCACACAAGACACCAGCTGGGAGCCCCCCGCTCCTGGCGAAGATAGACTTGGCAACCCTAAGTGAGGGCTATAAAAGGATGGGGGAGGGTGGACATTTGTCCATGCTCTCCCCTTTTATCTTACAGTAATAATCAGACAGATTAATAATCACCCCCCCTATAGCTGCCTGTAGTACAGTTGAATTCACAGGAGAGTTCAGTTTACAGAGAGAGAAATGTAACAGCTTGCTCGGCTTTCTCTCTGCAACCCACTTTCTGCCTCACGACACTCCTCTTTTATTGCTAGCTCTACCCCTGGGTTGAGATTACCCTCTCCTGTGATAGCTTCACCTTGACGTCCCCAGAGGGCAGGACTCCTCTTCCCACCCTCACAGCTGAGAATCCTTGCCAGCCTTGGTCTAACTGATTTCCTGGCTGTCTAGTAGCTTCCACCTGCTTCAGAGCCTGGCTTAACTCTTTAGGTTCTCTTGCTGATACAAGCTCTCTACCCACTGGTGAGTTTCCATCTAGGGTTGCGGTGGTTTCCCTGCTGATCCCTGTCTCTACTATCAGCCATTCAGGAGCCTTCCTGCCACAGTTGACCTATGAGCAAAGCTTTGCTCTGGGTGTCCAGTAGTCAGTAAGTCAAGGGCTTTAAAATATACCACAGCCAACATGTTTTGTTAAGATGTACTTGCCTGCTCTCTACAGGAAAAGAAAGTGTATTCATGTAGCCTTTCTGTAAGAAACTACTACTGCTCTCTTTAGAACCTGGTTCTCTCCAGTTGGTTCCATTAGTCATCTTTCTGTTCATCAGAGTTTCTACTGAAACAGCTTGTACGGTTGAGAAGCTGCTTCTCAGATTAATTTTTAAAATTTCAGCTGAGAACAGCTTGCCTCTTCTGTATGTGCTAGAAACTTGTAGCATTTCCAATATTGTTGTCATGGTTTTGGAGACCTCCTGACAGTGCACCAGGAATGTCCCTGGAACATAGTTCACGAAGGGCTGGCTTAGAACAATGTGAAGAAACACTTTCCATTATCTGTCCCTTAATTTCAAGTTAGTCTTCTTATTCCTTTCCATACTCTGCTTCATCTCTGAAGTGGAACCAACAGAAAAAGATATACTGTATGAATGCCTTTACCTGGGTGTTGTCACTTCTTAAATTGCTTCTCAATGATTTAAATGGAAAGTTGCATTATCTCATCACATTTTCAACTTATTTTGGTCAGTAATGCTCTCAATTGTGTATTCTGTCCTTGTAATAATATGCTTTTTTTTTGTTTCAACCCTAGGAGAAGATGCAAATAGTAAACTGGAATTCCATAAGAAACGGATTTTGAAGAATAAGCGAGAGCACCATGACATAATAGTTCCTTATCTTCTGAATGGTAAACAGTGGAAACCAATGAAGATTTTTTATTCACAGGTTAGTTGTAATTTTGGCTGGTTGTTCTAACTTGCGTATTAATATTTATTTGATGCTTTCTTCCCAAAGAAACATGAAGCTGCTTTCAACATTAATAGGAAAGCCCAGAAGAAGAAAAAAGAAAGATATATAAAGAAAACAAACATAAAGTATTCCATTATAAATTGGGCTGGTCTTGAATCCAGTGATACAACATTCAAGGGCACAAGCCACAGGCTAAGAGCCAAGGGCCAAAAGCCTTTTGGCTTGTGTCTCTGGCCATGTACAACTTTATATCTGGAAGAGTGGAGGGGGGGAAATACAGCCTAGGTGCTGTAGCTGGCATCATTGATAACAATTGCGTAGAACCTAACTTTCCTATGCAGTCATCATATATGCCTATTATGTCATATGTACACGTTCATATGCAAACACCAACTCAGATTATGCTGTGTGGACTCAATCTTGGTCATTTATTGGAGATCACAATTAGGGATAGTATATAACAGTATTTCCCCAGAAATGTCTGAAATACTTTTTTCTTCTTTTCATGGTTAGGAGAGATTCTGGGATACATCCATGCCTTTGCCAAAGTTTCCTTTTAGAGAGAGAAAACATAGGAGCTTCTATTAGTGTTGTTTTCCCAGTTTTGCTATCTGTATGAATTAAATACAGATTTAAATTATATTATTTGTTTTACTGCTGTGGTGTTCTCAACAATAAATATATAAATCAACAAACAGAACAGAAATCCACCCAGTATAAAATAGCCTTGGGCAACAAATTACCTATCTTTGCTGCCATGTATCCCATTGATCTTATCAGTTGTAGAAGTTATGTTTGCTAGATTGCATTCTTATATAATTGAGACTTTTAAGAGAATAATTAGTGTTTGTGTTTAGTTTAGAAAATATGCCTTAGTATTAGGGTTGCCAGGTCCTTTTCTTCAGCTGGCGGGGGGTGGGTGGGAGGGAGCTTCCCGTGAGTGTGGGGGGGAATGTCACGCCTGGCCGTGGCTGTTGGGGGTGGGGCTTCCCATGCTGTTCAGCTGGCTGGTAGTGGGTTGGAGCCCATGAAATCAGGGAATCCCTCACTGGCAACCCTACTTAGTATATGTGGTGGCTTTTTTCCTGTTTATATTCAGGTTTGCCTTCATTATTTTAGGGGAAAGGTAACAGTTCTCTTTTAAAATCCCACCATCCAAAAGTATGTTTACAGATATATGTTGTAGTCCCAAGAATTCTATCCTGGGAGTAAGCACCATTGATTAAAAAGGACTTACTACTATTTAGGATTGCCCCTAGAGGCATCGACATGGGATTGTTGTAAGCTAATAGAAACATCTTATGTGTTAGGCATCTGTCTAATTCTATTTTAGGTCATTTGTTTAGAAACAGATGGTCTCCTTTTACAATCCTCTAGAGATTTTCAGATTTAGTAAATGTAGTCTGTCAAAAGGGTTAACAGTACAATGGCTTTCTAAGAGCAGCGATAAGGTATTTATATCATTAATTTGTTTCCCAGATTTCCATGCAATTCAAGGTGAACATTAGAAAGAGTTGTGGTTTTCATGCACAGAACTCTGTGAAGTATCAGTGCTTTTAAAAATATTTGTCTTCCATGGAAACTGGTAGAAATTTAATATAAAAATGATTATATTCAAGCTGTGGGGAAATCAACAATGCTGAAGTGGTTGAGAGAGAAAGAATTTATAACAAGCTTGTCATGCTATTGATCAAAGTAAGAAAATGAAACTTAGTCATAAAGATATGTGGATTCCTGTGGAATTTTACCATCAAATAGTGCAATAAACAGGGTTACACTCTTCTAAGACCATTGACTTCTTTGGCTTTTATTTTGTGCTGATAATGAAATAGTGTTGTTTTTCTTCTGTTTCTTCTGTTTAATGTTTTCATTATTCAACATTTGATGTCATAATTGATATGTACAGGGCTGCCAGGCTTCAAACTGTGGAGGGTGGCTTGCTGCCAAGGAGTGACATAGGGTTGCTCTAGGAGCCAGAAACTCTACAGTTTTTCCATAGAGTTTCTGGCATTTCTCAGAGTTACCCTACATCACTTCCAGATTTTCCCCAGAAGTGATGTCCTAGTCCATGTGGCACTGTGCTATCCCTTGTGTCTGCCCCTAAAGCTCCTACCAGTTGCTAGGCATGGCATAGCAACCCTAGCATTGTGTAGTTCATCTTATTCAGCTGCTGGTGGTTTTTTCTCATCAAATGTTAGTTTATTGAATGAACAGAATGATAAACTTAAAAAGGAGGACAAATTTCCTGAGGAGAAGGGACTTCGTTCTGTCTCACTTCAGTTGTGCTCCTTCTTTGAACATACAAGTTTCTTGAACCTCCTCACTGAGGTGGGAGTTTGGGGGTAGCTTTTCTTTAAGAAAGAGAAGAGTTAGGGAAGGAAGATGAGAGGTGTTTAGTTTTGAGGTGCACAAACCCTCTGTGGATGATACACAAGGACCATCGATGTCTTAGATACTTCTGTAACATAACTAGCATTAACAGGGACCAAGAAGCAAATGGAAGCAATGGATGAATGGGCTAGTAGTGTGGAGAGATCTGAGTCAGTGGTGATTTGAGTACTGCCTGCATCAAATGTAGTGAAATTCATATTCCCCAGCCAAAAGAAGCTTTGAATGACTTGTACATATGTAATGGGCTCTGATATCTGTATGTAAACATACAGACTGTAGATATTTTCAAGCATGAGCTTGTGGAATTTTGCTGTTTTCCTTCCGTAGGAGAGAGCCTGTTTAGAACCTGGTAAAGATCAATAGCTCTCCTGCTGTTTATTTACTTATTTAATTCAATGACACGTTTCCATTTAAATCAGGGTTTCAGTGTGGCAAACATTTCAAACTTTAGAACAGCCTTTAAAATAAAAATATGTAAAATTGTTTAAAGCAATTAAATAAAACATGTAAACCACACAAACAATAATAAGAGTTTATTTATGTAGATATTACTTCTGTTTTTAGTAAAGTGATTGCTGAGTATGAATGTGGAAGGAGCTAATAGTGCCTATTATAACTAGATTAGAATTTCAACACCCATTGTAACATCCCATTTTGACTTTCCAGGATTAAAAAAGGAACTTTCAAAAGAAAATGTTCCATTTTTTTTCTTAGCCCAAAGGATTTATATCTATATAGATTAAATACATAACTTTTGTCTTTGTGAGTTTGTATATAATAAATATAAAACATAATAAAAATAATACGTATAAATAAATAACATGGGTGTGATTCAAATTTATCGATCAGATTCGAGGCCACTGCTCTTAACCACTATACCATGCTGGCTGAAATGAGGAGATGAAAGGATTGTAGAGTCCTTCCAAGAAGAATCTTTTGAGGAAGAACTTACAGTTTTAGAAAGTGAAGTGAAAGCCGCACTGAGAGCAATTAGGAGTAGATGGGATCAATGTTCCCTCTAAATTGTGGAGTCTTGTGAGCAAAAATTCTACTTTTTGAGCTACTGACATTAAAGTTGTGAGTGAATGATTTGGCTGCTGTATCAATTAGTTTGCTCTGGAGCCATCCTTCCTGAGCTAAAAATCTGTGAGCTGGAGGCTAAAAACTGTGAGCTAGTTCACACTAACTCAGCTTAGAGGGAACATTGGATGGGATAACAATAGAGCTATTCCAAGCCACAGAAACAGAGTCCATCAAAATCTTTGTGCCAACAAATATGGAAAACGAAACAGTGATCCACAGACTGGAAACACTCAGTTTACATTCCAATTCCCCAAAAAGGGGGACATGAAAGACTGCTAGAAAAAGTATCTGAATAAGTGAGCAGTGACTCACAAAATCTCATACCATACCACATATTTTGTTAGTCTTTAAGATGCTACTGGGCTCTTGCTCTTTTCTACTGTCAAAGAGTGCAGTAACTATTGGACCACTGCATTAATTTCTCATGCAAGTAAAGTGATGCTCAAAATCTTACAACAAAGACTGTTGCCATATATAGAACAAGCTATGTGAGATGTTCAAACTCAATTCGGAAGAGGCACTAGAGATCATATTGCAAATTTGTTGTGGTTACTGTAGCTCAATCAGAAGAATTTCAAAAGAAAATTAACTTGTGCTTCATTAGGTTCATTAGGTTACAGCAAAGCTTTTTGACTGTGTGGATCATGAAAAGCTATGGTTGGTTTTAAAAGAAATGGGTGTGCCACATCATCTGATTGTTTTAATGTGTAACCTGTACTCTGGAAAAGATGCTACTGTTAGGACTGAATATGGAAAAACAGAAGTGTACAAGGATGTATTTTATCTCCATATCTCATCAATTTATATGTAGAACATATCATAAGGAAAGTTAGATTAGATTTATATGAAGGTGGGGTGAGAAGTGGTAGAAAGAACATTAACAATTTGAGATATGCAGACACCACATTACTGGCAGAAAATAGTGAAGACCTGAAACAACTTCTGATGAAGGTTAAAGCAGAAAGTGCCAAAGCAGGATTACAGCTGAACATCAAGAAGACAAAAGTAATGACTACTGGAGAATTACAGAACTTTAAGACTGAGAATGAAGAAATTGAAATTGTTCAAGATTTTCTATTCCTTGGCTCCATCATCAGTCAAAAGGGAGACAGCACCCAAGAAATCAGCAGGAGATTAGACTGGGAAGTTCAGCCAAGGATTAGCTAGAAAATATTCATAAGCATAGGGATGTGTCACTACCAACCATGATCAAGTTAATTCATGCCATGAGATACCCCATTACTATGTATGGGTGTGAAAGCTGGACAGTGAAGAAAGTTGGCTAGCAGAAAGTAGATTTCTTTGCAATGTGGTGTTGGGGGAGAGTTTTATAGTTACCATGGACTGAAAAAAGACAAATCAGTGCGTTATAGACCAAATCAAGCCTGAACTCTACCTAGAAGCTAAAATGACTAAACTGAGGCTGTCATAGTTTGGTCACATTATGAGAAGAGAAGACAAGAGTCACTGGAAAAGACAATAATCCTAGGTAAAGTTGAAGG